CAAATGCATAAGTTGTATAAATATTACTACATAGTAGTTTACTTAAACAGTTACTTAATTATAAGATAATAAGTCATAATTTATATAAAGAGTCAAATGTCTTAAAAAAATTCGTTAAAAAAATCAAAGGAGAACTTTTAAATATTCAAGCAGATTTATCTACGTTAGTAAAAATAATAATAGTATTAGAAATCTTAAAGCATACAATAAGATGATAAAAAACTAGATTTGCAAGAGATCTTTTTTAAAATCAGCATTAGAAATAGTACAAAAACTTGAAGAAGTAAAGCATAATTTATTAGAAATCAAAGAATAGGAATTATATATGAAAAAAAAACATCTTAAAAAAAAAGGCACAGAAAAGATATTAAGAAGCTTTAAGTATATTTAATAAAAAAATAAAAAAACATAATTATATAAATGAAAAGTATTAAGGTCTAGCTAAGATTGCTAGACAAAATTTAGAGGTTTTGCAAGTTATCTAAATAGAAAAGGTAAAATTTAGCAAAATTATATTAAAACCTTATTAAAAAATCTGCAAATTCTGAAAAAAGTAAAATTATATCAAAATCTTAAGTAAAATATTAGCAAAACTATAGTTTAAATATTTTATCAAATCCAAAATAAGTTTAGTCAAGCAACTTTAGGTCTAGCTCATAATTCTTATAATAAAAAGTTATACATAGATTCTTTTGAAACTGAGTGTTTTTTATTTATCATAATTTTTGAAGTATAACTCTTATTTACTTATAAAAATTGTAAATAAGTTTACAGCTGATAAGTTAAATTGTATTTCTAAAAATATAAAAAAGTATAAGGTTATAGATGTTGGTTAGCTTTGATTTCTTGATAGCTTCTAACATACATAATTTTACTATAATATAATTTTTTCAGAAATATTTTCACGTTATTTTGTAAATTTGAGTCATTTTATTTTAATATAAAATCTGTTAATCTTATACAATAGTTTTATTAATTTATAATTTTTTTTTTTAAAAAAATTTAATTCATTATTTTTTTAAGAAAATTAGAAAATAAATTAAAATAAAATAAAAAAAATAAAAAGAAAATAAAAAGAAAACAAAATAAAACAAAAAAATGAAATTATGAAAACTAAACAAAATGAAAAGTGAAACTAAAAAAAGAAATAAAATTATAAATGAAATTAAGTGAATAAGACAAAATGAAAAATGAAATTAAATGAATGAAATGAAATGAAAAAATGAAATTTTAAAAATTTTTTTAAAAATTATTACCTCATAGACATGTTATAATTTTACCTTATATTTTAGAATTATCTTGCAGATACACTGCAATTACATTTTGTATTTAAGTTTGTTTTGTAGTAGGCAAATAATGATTTCTTTTTCAAGTATACCTTAATTTTAAAAAGTAATTATTTAATATAAATCTAAAAATAAATTATACGTTTTTAATTATTACCTAAACTATCTCAGAATTGAGTTCTATAGAAATTATATAATCTTTTTACTGTATAGATTTATTTTCTACCTCTTCTCGCTATATTTTAATAATTACAGAATTCTAAAGATATTAATTATATTGTTAAGTTATATTTATCATTATATTATTATTTATTTATTTATTTGCATTTAATTACATACTAATTTCCTCAATTTTAGCTTGCATTAATAAGTAGAATATATCATATTACATCTTCAATTTATTTGTTATACTACATACTGTTAGAATCTCATTTTATTACCTTTATATTTGATATGATACTTGTTATTTCTTCTCTTTTTTTCATCTACTAATAAATCTATTTTGTTATTCTTCTAAATTATTCTTATAGTTATTTTTGCATTTAATTTAAAGTGTAAAATCAAAACTAATATTGTATATTTGCATCTAAAATACCAGTTCTATATTTTTACAGCTTGACATAATATAGAAATGAAGAGTATTAAGAAAGCTTTAGAATGATTAATCGAATTCTTTGAGTTATCACGAGAGGTAATAATATATCACTATTATTTATATAAAACTGATAATTATCTAAAATATATTAATAATTATATATTACTATTAGAGAAAATTTCAAAAGAAAATTTCAAGATAAATCATATGTATTGTAAAGCAATATTATTTACTCTCTTAATCTGAATTTCAGAAATTAGAATTCATGTATTATAATGTATATGCAGAACTTGATAAAATAAAGTTAAGTAAATAAATAACTTTTTAATTGCTATACTATTTACTTAGAAAAAGTTTTTTAATATTGATTAACATATTAATTATAATAGTTATTCTTTAGAATTGATTTCTCTTAGCAAAAAAATTAAATTAATAATAGAAGTATTATATATAAAGTAACATGTATATAATGAAAAATCTATTATCAATCCAGTTAAGTTTATAAAAATGCTTGAAAAAATTAAACTATCATTAAAAGGGTTTTAATCAATTAGTGACTAAAATTAACTTGTAAATTAAAAACTATATAATTAACGAGAAAAATAAGAAACGTTTAGTTTACTTTTTACTTTTTTATTATAGTTTTAATATCTAAGACACTAAGCATTTTAATAGCGATTATATATATGTTTAGAACTACAAAGTACCTAATACTAATCTTAAGACCCATAAAATCATAATTAAATACAAGTTCTAACTATAACTCACCTATTTAATACTAGTTCAAGACTTGCTATCTAGACTAATATTAGGCAATTAGACAATTTTAGATAGTTTTAGACAGTTTTGAATATATTTTGGACACTTTTTTCTATGTCTAAAACCTTGTCTAAAACTTTTAAAATCTAAAACTGTGTTTAAAACCTATCATTAATCTAGACAATACTCTTAAGAGCTAACCTTCAGAGCTTCTAGACCTCAGATCCATTGTCAAATTTGGATAGAGAGATCATTTTCAGCTATAGAAACTTACATTACTTTTTCCTTGTGCTTACCAATACCAATCAGAATTACTATTATCTCTGTCTAATATCAGGATATATTACATATAATCGAAAAGACTTAAATGTTATCATTTTTATAGAATCTCAGAAATGTGGTAGTTGTTATATCTATATTGTCAAAATTACCTAAGAATTGAATCTGACCTCTATCTCAAATGATAGCTCAATTAGATAATACTGTGACAATGCAATGCAGTTTATTATAACTATAACCCTTTTTTAAAATACCAATCTACTAATTACTGATTAATTACATTTATACTTTTGTAAGAGCCTCTGAATTTGAAAACGTGAGACAGTATCTATTATAGACCTATCAGTAAAGATTAAATTTCTGTTAATTTTTAGCTTTATTTACATTTACATATTCTTTAAATCCAGTATTTAGACATAATTAATATCAATCTATAGATCAATCAATCAATTATAAACATATATTAATATATATATCTATATATTCAATTATATATGAAATTTATAAAAAAATCATCTAGTTTTATGTTTCAGCTGAGATCTGAACCTGTGATTATTACAATGTAATCCATAATAGAAGCTTAGTTATTGTCAACTAAATTAGAAATGTTAATTCTATTTAATTTTATTTTAATATTTTTTTTATAGGACTTAATAATAAATTTATTAATAGAATCAAGGTAAAAGTTGAGCTTTTACTAGATGCATCTAGAGCATCTTCATTAGCAATTGAGATCTTAGTTAGTACAAACTTAGCAATTAGATGTGAAACTATTATGAGATAAAAAGTCTGATATGTAAAATTTATACAATAACAGTTAAAAATTTTATATTAGAAAATATAACTCTACAAATATTTTAAATATTTTTAAATATTTTTTTTTATTTGTTATTAACCAACTATATATATATTATATTTAATAGAACAGAAATTTGATTGTTTTAAATGTAAATAATTTTCACAATATTTATGAATTTCATTATAGTGATACAAAGATTACACATAAAGTTTTCCATTTTATAATAATACTCTTAAAAACCTTACTAGAAATGCCATTTCTTTCATTTAATAATCCTAATTAAAGAAAAAGTGTTCATAATAAAAAAGGATAGATCCAAACATTATTATAGAAAATGCACACTTATTTTTTTTTATTTATGATTTAGTTATGCAGAACGCAAGCAAGCTTTTGCTAACTTAGTGTTTACATCAAAAATCTATAATAAATAAGTTGAACATTTCTTAATTTATAGCTATAATAATAAAATAGAACAATGTCAGACTAATCAAAATATAAAAAGCATGAAACTTGTTGATTTAAAAAAATGTTCCTTTCATTTAACTGATAATTATGTAAATGCTCTCAAATATTTGATGAAGATACCTGAAGTAAAAACTTATAAAGACATAAATATTAGTGATACCTATCGACTACCCTAAATAACTTTATATATAAGACATGTTGCAACAAAACCAGACAAAGTGAATATTCTGAAATAAGAGGCTGGTGTGACTGAAAGTTAACTAACTTAACTAATAACATTTTGAAGAGAATAATAGTGCTCATTCATAATTTATGGACTTGTTAATTTTAATGTTCACTTTATTATACCAGAATGTGATGAATATAAACCATAACAGGATTAATATAGGACTATTTCTATATAAAAATATAAATATGAAACTAATTTATATCAAATCCACCATGGAACCCAAGAATTACAGCACTATTAGAAGTATTTTAAAGAAAGCTCAAGGTGAAAAAATTTCTCCATATGTTTTTAAAATCAAACACTCCAGAAATATTTAGATCAAGAAAAAATTACTTATAAAATTTATCAAGAAGAACGAAAAATACTAAATAACAAACGAACCTTAACTAAAACGTAAGATAAAAGCATAAGCAAATATCTGCTTTTTTTATTATTGTTAATAATTATCGATAATTTTCTATGATTTTTTATATACGGTTTGAGTAAGAATGACGATAGATATGAAATCTGGTACAATTTATGTCAGCAAATCATTATAATTATCACATTAGAGATAATGATAAATGAGTCACGAATAAATTTATTAGAATGGCAGTTGATCCAAACTTTAAGCGACCAATGGTACGTTTATTTTCATTTTGTATAAAGACTGTATGATCGACGCATCGACTGTTTCAGAATCTGTAACTGTAACATATTTATAATCATTAAGAACTCTGATCAGCACCTGACAAGCTTATTATAAATAATACGACCTGCACTCAGTTTCGTCTTAGAAAAATTAAATCGCAAAATCTTTTCAACATCAAATTTGCCAATAATTTAACCCATAAAAAAAGTAAAAAAAATGTTTGATTTCACTATCAAATTCATTTTTGGGTTGTTGATCAGACTTGTCTTCGATCCTTTACTCATAGCTAATCAACCCCTATATTATAACTCAAATGCTTAAAGTAACAATTTACCTAATCAAATTAAAATCCTGAACCAGACAACTGCTCTGTAAGCAAAAATATTTGCTAAATGTCAAATACTTGTGAAAAGGTTTTAAAATCTCTATCAAAAGACCTAAGCTGGACTCAGTTTTATTTAACAAAGTGGTTATAAAATGCCACAAATCGCATGAAATAAAAAGCATTATTGCTTTTATTCTAAAAGACCTTTACCAACAAAAATTCTCGAGAAAAACGATCAAAGCGCTTAAAAGTTGGGTAGATAAAGAAAAGAAGAAGGAAAATGTAGATATTAATAGCATTTATAATAATGTATAGAATTGATTTCATTAGAGCAACCAAAGTATAGGGATACTCATCAATGACTTTGGGTTTGAGTATTTTCTCCTATGCAATCGCTCTAGTGAATATGTACTTTATAACTTGTTGCTTGTAAAGAGTAATAAAGACTACGTTAGCAGATTAAGTGTATCAATTATCGTAAATGTCTCTGACTATTTTATTTTTTTTCGCAATTAAATATTTAAAGTTTTAAAATGATAACAAATAGTATTTTCATATGGCTCCCAGCTACATGAATTCAAACTGCGGCTACATAAGTTGCTGAATTGTTCACTTTTCAAAAATATGCAATAATAGAGGTCAATCACAAGGGTAACAATCGAGCAATCTGATTTGATGCATGCAATTGTTTCATAACGTGATACGCCCATGGAGTGCAGCAAAGCAAGATATAAACGCGCACACGTTTTTCTCTTTCATACTCATAAACTTGACAACATGAACAACCAACTCACCTTTGAATTCACCTTTAAATACTTGAAAGATTACCCTAGTGCTACTGAGAAGAATATCAAAGAAGTATATAAAAAATAATAAGATAAGCAAGCAATAAATACACGTTTTTGAGAGGATAGTTGAAATGCATTACAACATGCGTTGGAGTTAGAACATAAAGCAGAATTGTAGCAAAAGTTGGGTTATACGTAAACTCGTTTGAAAGGCAAATAAGCAAGATATGATACATTTGGTTAAGTAGAGTAGAAGCAATGGTGGAAGAATAGTTCGAATGCTGTTATAATGTGACAATAGAGAAAGAATAGTTCGAATACATTACAACATGCGTTTGGATTGCGAATGCTTTTATAATGTGTGTTAGGAGGTTTTGTGCTATAGCTGAGTTTAATCATATTCTAATTCTTTTGTTGCTCACAATCTTCTGTTTAATATAATGTTTTCTGATGACTTACTACTTTTTGCAAATTAAAGGTTCTTCAAAACGTTTAGCTGATACAATAGAGAGTAAATAAGAGTAAGCAGAAAAAAGAATAGTGGAACAGGCATTTAATCTACCTTTTCGAGATCCAGATAAACTTGAAGAGCACTTTGTTAAATTTATCGATTTCTGTGCTAAGCAATACCAAATGGACTCTGAATTTTATGCATCATATACGACTTTGGTTCAGGGGAGCAGTACTGGAAAGACAAAGCTTTTACATAAGATAGCTGAAAATGTGAAAGCTGTTTACTGCTGTTTTCGTGAGGAGAGCTCTAGCGGCTATCCTGCAAAATCTTACATTGCAAACAAACTGCTTGATAAATCAAAAGATGCAAATAGCATTATCATTTGTGGTATATACTTGGCATATCTTGTGGCATGTGTTGAACGTTTGCAGCAATTTGAAGGTGATCACAAGTTATGGCTTCAAAACCATACAAAATCGATGCAAGAGAAGTTTTGAAAAGCTATTGAGTTATGAATGAACGAAATTAAGGAAATGTTATTTCAGCAAGTAGAACTGAATATTTGGATCAGTGTCGTCTAATCTCTGATTGGCAATGAACACACATTAGGTACTGAAATGTAAACTACTGATAATATTCGGACGTTAAAGATTTTATTCATATTTAACGAAGCTCAACATCTAACTACTACAAAAAATATCGAAGATAGTAGATTGCACTTCTATTATTTGCGGTATGCTTTGAAATATTTATCCTGTCACTCAGAAATATTTGCCATATTTACCGACACAATTTCTCGAATTTCAAATTTTGCATCAAAGTCAGAGTTCGACCCATCTCTGAGGATTTCTAAAGCTGGAGAAAAGCTTTTCCCTCTATTCTATATTTTAGACACCATTGACATCTATGCAAAGGATCCTCAAACATCTAGAGAAGCTAAAGATCCAGCATGCCTGTTTTAACGGGGAAGACCTTTATAGGGCTCTTTGTTTGAAGCACAGTCTCATATGGCTCTTACATCAGATCGTATAATTGATTTAGCAAGGGATAAGATTATTGGTAGAACTAACTTCACTTCATGGAAAAAAGATAAAAACAGGAAAACATTCAGTGCGGCAGAAATCCTATCGATTCTTGGTCTGAGGTTATGTATTGATGTTTCTCTATGGATCTCACTTTCCTTTTAGTTAATCTCAAGTCACATGTGGCTTTGTTTTCATGTCTCTGAAGAGCGGAATAAAATTACAACTAGTTTACCATCGGAACCTATCCTTGCTAAAGCAGCATCATAAATAATTAAGAACCCGTCTGTTAATGTTTCAGAACTGCTTAACGTTCTTGCCTCTACTTTCAGAGAAGGTGGCTATTGCAGGGAGCTTGTTGCTCGGTTTTTACTTTTGCGAGCATAGGATGTTGCTTGCAATAAGCGCATCACAAGTACTACTCTTACTATTAGCAATCAGTATTCACTTTTGATAACGCTAGGAGATTTTTTTAAAACATTGCTTGTAGCTGAAGCATATAAAGAGTTGACTCCTTACCTTGAAGATGAGAAAGACAGCACATACATACAGTCAACATTATGCAATGCTCTGATCAGATTTACACATTTCATCAAAGTGACGTATACACCAAGTAGACAAGAACTCTTGCAATTTTTTATCCATGATGCTGCTGTCTTGTGCAAAGAGTGCGAGAAAGGTGCGTATATTATTATACCAATATTTATAGGCAAAGCTGATACTTCGTTAGATGCTAACAGAATCTCTTACATTTTGATCTAAGTGAAAAATTTATAAAATGATGCATGGGATGATGCATACCCGTCTTCAGCAACAAGCGCTTTATTACCTGCTCATATTGGCATTGAAGATTTGCCGCATATTCCATTTTTATCTATTTATATGCAGCTTCGCTCACAATCTAAGCGATTTGAGATACTAAGCTCACCAACATTATGTATTAGAAGGGAAGCTGCACAGTTCAAGCGTACCATCAGCGAAGTTAGTGACAAATATCTTACACAAGATGACTTTCTTAAAAAAGCACGCTTGATGCCTCTAGGAGAACCTGCCGGCACATCAGAAATTAGTGCATTTCGCAATTATTTTCAAGTTGCATCTTCATTGTTTGGACTGTCTCCTAATGTTTATGCATGTTTAACACCTGAACTTACTCATGCATTAGAGAAATTGTTAGTAACATCAATGGACATTCTCGATAAGTTTGTAGATGAGGATGATAAGCGAAGGATTATAAAAATGTTACCATTACAATATAGGTAATAAAATTTACTATTCACGAAAAGGGAAATATCCATAAATGAATTATTTTATTACCATTTATGTTCTAATCTCATTGATAATATCTTTGAAATTTTCAATAAAAACTTGTGCAACAAAATTTGCTATCTTTGGTCAATTTATAATTTATGTGGTATGTTCTTATTAAGAAATTGTTAAAACAAACATCATTAAAGTGATAAAAAATATATATAGGAATACCATATATGGAAAATTATAATTATAACGGTTCAACTGAATATGAAAAAAAAGCCATGCGTTTTTTGGAGATAGATTGCAATTGTGGTTGTTCAAAAATAATTCTGAGAGAAAATTTTGCAGAATTACGTGAGGCGTTTCAAGTTCTTTTTAGATCTGAACAAGACATATTTTTAATGACCCAGCTGAAAGTAATGAATGGGGGAGAAATAACCACTAGTCGATGTCTTAAAAATAAACGCGTACTAATAAGAGAACTTTTTACTACTGAGATCGCAATACACCTCTTTGTCAGAAAACGTATCTTAATATGTTAGGAATTGGTCGTACTCACTTCAAAAATATCAGAAACCATCTAGCAATGAATGGTATAATACCACGCGTTCATGGTAACATAAAACAAGTATCACGATGAAAAACTAAAATAATTATTAATATAACTGTTGCTACCGCTGTGAAGAATTTTCTCGAAAACTATGCAGAAATTCATGGATTACCAAGTCCTGGTAGAAACGTTAATCGAATTACCCAATCTCTTACACTATTGCCAGCTGAAATAAGTTACAAATCGGTCTATTATGATTTATTGCAGGTCTCGAAAATGATAGCACATTAAAATTGTTAAAATATGATACATTTCGCAAGTTATAGCACCAATTAACATTTTATATTCAAATTATGAGTTCAAGAACAGATTTATGTGATACATGTCAACATTTTCAGAATGCTTACAGTATAATGTTCATAAGGAAGAGGAAGCAAAAGATTTACTGAAAAAATACAAGGAACATTTAGTTAAGGCTAAATTAGAAAGAAATTATTACAACAAAAATACGAAATTAGCAGAACAACAAAGAAAATTAGTAGACGAGTATTTTATAATAAGAGGTAAAGCTGATTATTGTCACATTGATGCTATTGCTCATTACAGTTATGATTGAATGTAAAATGTTCATGTTTCCCATTCTGGTCAGCAAGTAAGTAAGATTTATTATCTTAGTTCACGTAAAGTACATTTATTTGGTATTCAAGATGAAGCAGTATATGAACAAATTAATTACATTCTTGACAAAGACGAAATTATCGGCAAAGGCCCTAATGGCACACTAAGCCTGGTATTTGATGAGATTAAGAAATTGAATAAAGGTGAAAAGGCTTAAAGATTACTTATGATAATGCTGGTAATCAGAATAAAAATAATGCTACTATTTGATTTTACCTCTATTTAGTAATTTGCGGTTATTATGAAAGTATCAAATTAAATTTTATGATACTTGGACATACTAAATTCAAGTGTAATGGCAGTTTTGGATTGATTAAAAAACTATATCGCAAAATGACTGTAGATTGTGTGGATCATATTGTTAAAATTGTGAAAAATTCAAGTACATCTGGATTAAACAAGGCTCAGCGTTATGATAACGGAAAGGCTTTCAATATTTAGATCTTAATTCTGTATTGGGGATTTTCTTTTTAAAATTAAATGGTTTATAAAAATATCAGCATTTTCTATTTAAAATAGTTCAACCAGGAGTTGTCAAAGCCCAGCTGGTTGCTAATGGTACTTATACAGAATTTTATTTATTGAAAAATAAAAAAACAAGTGTTTCTGAAATTACCAAAGAAATTAAATCTTTTTCTATCCTAATACTAACTCCTCCTTTCTTGAATTATAAATGATAAGAATATCTCTATCATCATATTCGCTCATTTGTTGAAGACGAATTCAAAGATATTACCTGTCCAAGCCTAATCTATACTGGCAATGAATAAAATTATTAAAATAATTATATACTTAATATTCCCTCATAAAAAGAATATAAGTATATTAAAGAATAAATAAAATAAAGGAAAAATCATGACAACAGAAAAATCATTAAAAATAAGAAAAGACATTGATTGTCTAAAATTTTACATAAAAACGTGGTTAGATCATTTAGAAGCTCTTGAAAGCTATCATAAAAATGGTGAACATGCAAGTTTTTTTGATAAAGAAAAACCTGCTATTAATAATTTTTGATTTAATGAACATTATCGTAAAGGTATTGTTGAGATTTTTGACTTGTATAAAGAATTAGAAGAGCATATTAAGTGATTATAAAAGGAACTTAAAGAAGCTTGAAGTGAAGGTCAAACTCATATTAAAACTATGTGAGATGCTTATAAATGAAGGAAAAAAGAAAAGAAAGACTGGAAGAAGAACTCAACAGTACCAAAACTACATTGCTTGATTTTATTAGAAGACTTGCTAAGAAAAGGTAGAAAATATGAAGTTAGTAGAGCAATCAAAAAAAGATAATTGAGCCTTGAAAAATCTTAATGAAAGATTAGTAGAAGAAAAACAAAACAGTTTAAAAGTTTATCTAGATAAACCTTTACCTAAGTTGTCAAGCAAATTCAAAATCTTTAAGAGAAAAGTAAAAACTAAATTCCAACATTTAGTAGAAAAAGTTAAATATGAAAAACAAGAACTAGAACAAAAACTTATTGCTAAGATAAAGATAAAGATTGGCAGTTGTTAATATATGAAAAATCTAACCTATACACTTTTAGAATTAGAAGATTGGTGTAGTGATAGTTCAGTATGTGATTTTTGCTTTAGCCTTAACAAAGTATCTTATCAAATAAAAACTCGTAGTCAAATCATTAGCAAAATATTAGCAAACGATTTTATTTGTGAAAATTGTAAGATAAGATTTGAAAATGATGAGTTGTCAAAGTGTAGCAGATGTGGTCAATTAAGAATTCAATCTGACATTGAATATCTTACTAATAAAGTTGTTTGTCGCTGTGTTAAAAGAAATAAAAATCCAGAAGAGAAGAAACTTTCTAACTTGCCTTATAAAAGAGAAAGTATGTCTGCTTTTTATGAAAGACAAATAAATTCCTTACAAGAACAACTAATTGAGACTGAAGAGGCACTAGAAATTGAAAGAGAAGAAGTAGCCAAATTTCAAGAAAAGTCTGAAGAGTGTAGTAAAAGACAGAAGCAAGAATTATTGGATAAGATTTCTAGTTTGAAGAAGAAAAATAAGGAATTAGAAGAACAAAATAAACAATTAAAAAAACAAAATGGAATAAAAAATTATGAAAAGGAAATTGCTGAATTAAAAAAGCAATTGTCTTAGCTGACTTCTCAACAGTAAATTGCTCAAATTGAAGTTAAAGAGACTAAAAAATGACCTTGATTGAAATTAAGGAAGTAATTGTTCTTTTTTTAAAATGCTTCTAATGGTGCTATAATTTTTGGGTTCCATCGTGGATTTGATGTAAATTAGTTTCATATTAATATTTTTTATATAGAGATAATCCTATATTAATCCTGTTATGGTCTATATTCATCACATTCTGGTATGATAAAAGGAACGTTAAAATTAACAAGTCTATAAGTTATGAATGAGCACCATTATTACTTTTCCAAACATCATCAGTCACTGGTCAATTTTACAGCCATGTCACAATCAGCCTCTCATTTATGTCACATAGTCAAATGTTCACTTTGTCTGGTTTTGTTGCAGTCTGCCCCATATTATCTATAAATGTCGTCATTATCATGTGACATAAATTATATCATAATTTATAATCAAAGCGAAAATTTTGGCCGTAAAGTAGAGTAGCATAATGACAATTGTAATAATTGCGTAGATGGCGACGGAAATTAATAAATCATGTAATTTATTATAAATTATTCCATCGCGCTCCAACTTTATCATACCACGGGACTTTATGTCAATCACCAATTTTAACAGTCAATTTTATAAATGTCGTCTAAATTCATAGTGTTGTTGATTCTTCGGCTAGCCTAAGGATTCGACCACTTGTAAATCATTTCAAAACTATACTATAGCATCATATATATTTTATATCGTCTTTACTAACTCACTTTACCCATTCTAGAACTACTTGCGGTTACTTCCTTTAATTAGCTACAGAATCATTGCAGAAAACTAGAGACACATCCGGGTACTTTTCTTGGTACTATCTTTTGAAATAAGAGAGGGATTTTTTTCCAATCATTGAATACTGCTGTCCAAGGTAAAATTTTTTCATCGTTTTTAAACGAAAACTCAAGTAATGTTTTAATTGAGATCTGTAAATTATGATTCGCGAACCTGCCCTTTATGCAAAAAAGATCATTGATATTTGGATGGCGAATAGTGGTTTTATAGAGCCCGGAATCCCACTTGATAAGGTATTAAAAGCGTATTCTGAGAACTCTGATCTAAACCAGTCTATTTTCCAATAACAGTGGAGGCGTAAAACGATCCCTCTGCAACTCTTGACCATATAACCTATAGGTCAAGTGCGCAGTACGATATCGGGAAAATTCTTGCCAGGGTTGATGACGAATCATGTATCCCGAATAAGGTTGCTTGACGAAACCTAGAGGTTTTGCAAGTCGTCTAAATGGTAAAAAGGTAAAATTTAGCGAAACTAGGAATAAGTAAAACTTTATAAAATTGCGAAACAATATCAAAACCTTAATAAAAAATTAGCGAAACTAAAGTTTAGACGTTTTGCCAAATCCAAAATGAGTTTAGACAAGCAACCTTAATCCCCAAATTTTCGTATCAATAAAAAATAACTACATTATATCACGTATTTGAATACCTATTCAATTAAATTTGAACTGCTGAATAACTTGGACCAAAAATTATCAAAAGCCAAAAAAAAAAAAAATAAAATTCATATTATTGGTATTATGAAAACATAATTTACTTCAGAAATGTTAAACCAAAATTTTTAAATTATAACCTGAAAGATTTTATACAAAAAAAAAAGAGAGTTTTATTTTTTGCTATAATCTCTAGAGATAATTCAAATATGCCAATCAAAATAGGTTGAATATATTTAAAACACAAACTTTCGATAAGAAATGTTATATCAACTTTTAATTTTAAGGTTAATGAATCTCATTTCATTTACGCCTCTAACGCTATGCTTTTATCATGGAATTTAAGAACGTAACTCCCTTTTGATTGATTCTTGCATTGCTTTCCGAAAGGCGTTGACGCATGAATTTTTCGAAAATGTGAGCTTTGCTTTCGAATCAGAAAGTTTGAGTTAGTGCACAGGAACGATAGATAAAAAAAATATCATGTGCATAGTCACGCGATCACGATTTTCCTGGAGGGATCATGAATGGTAATATCCTCTTTGACTTTGAACATCTATAATCCGAAAAAATTTTTGATTAGCATCTTGATGACGTTTTCTAGAATCAAGCTGAAGTATTACCAGCATACTTCTTCTTTATGCTTTGGAGGAATATACTCGTTCGTTTGATTATGATATTGATGATGCAAATAATGGTAAGTTTGATTAGTCTCGTTCGATTTATATTTTACTTACACCAAGGCAAATAAAATGATTCACTAACCAGGGCCTCATCTTTTAATATAACGAGCGGTGGGCCTAATTGGAATCAATAAGTGGTGAATTATATTAATATGAATACTCGAAAAATCTGATCAACGACTCCTTAAATCACTATAACACCTGAACTGTATATTAGAAAATGTCAAAAGCTATCTAAAATCACTTCACTCATTCTTATACAAGGCCTTTGCCTTCACATGTCCTCATGACCGGACATTTTCGGTGACATTTTCCGAACATCCTTTTTCAAATATATAAACATTTTACAATTTATTTTAGAAATAATTGCCATGAGATAAAATCGTATTTTAATATATTAACTGTTTCATCAACCATTCTATCTTTTATTAAAAATTTGTATCATCTGAATATAGAAAGTATGTACCTGTTGCTTTTCATACAATATTAAAGACAAATATCACTTTAGGAAAAACAATCATGTCAAAATGTAGTAAACCCCATTATGTTTGGAATATGATATAATTCATGAATATTCGTCTCGAAAATCAGTAAAACCTCGAATGTTTGATGACTTAATTGCGTAACTCAAGTGACTCTCCCATTTTCATTTTTTCTGCATCAAAGTGTATGTCATTTGATCTTAATTCCTGAGGGTCGTACTTAACTTTAATCTATGCATGTAAAAAAAAAAAAATTCTCACCCCACAATTTTTTATGTCTTTTTCAGTAATGAACCATTTATTCCTAACCATTTTTGGTGATGTAATGTTGGTAAATAACAGATCAAGTTTTTATTTGGTTTTTTTTTTTTAAAAAAAAAAGGAAAATTAAAGAAAGAGATAGAAAGAGATGCGTTAGTGATGTAAATGTGGGTAAATAACAAATCAAAGTCTTTGTTGTTTTGTGCTGCATTGTTATTTACTATTTTTTTAAAAGAAAAAGAAAGAAAAAGATAGAAAGATCGATCGAACCATAATTATGCTTTCATACTGCGGATGTACTGACATTATTAACGTTATAAATGGCGTTCTATTAATAATTAATAATTTAATAATTAAATTTATTTTTGACTTTCCCCCACAATTTATATTTACTAAAAAAGGTTTATTTTCCAATATTATTAAAGAAATCAGCCCCTACATGATCTGATGTAATTATGTAAAGATTTGTTTATTTGAGATAAGATGATCAAGACAACTTTAGATAATACATAATCCAATATGAATCACATAAAAATGAATCATTAATAAATGAAAGGCGTTTTTTTTCCAAACAATAATAAAAGAGGAACCTTTTTTGAAAATTATGCAATAAGATGATCTTGATTATGGCTGATTTTCTTGCATGAAAATTCTATCAACATATTTCATCAATATATGTTTGACATAGTATTGTTGTTCGAAATTTACCAATCAAACGTTCGAATGTGGAACTTGCCGTCTGATACATCTTAATCATTTTTAATGATCTATTATGTGTCATTCTTGTGTTGTAATACTTTTTATTTTATTTTATTTTATTTTTTTTGAAGGAACATTTTATTTTTAATTACGGATGTTTTTTTCTCATCACTATTAAGTCATGGGATGATTTTGGTAAAACCACAAAAAAAAAAAAAAAAAAAAAAAAATCTGTTTTGACAATATGAATTTTTTTTTGTTTACCATTCATCAGATTCATTTGACAAAAAATTGATGAATGAACGATTTGCTTTCAAGTTAATGATCATTTTAGAGAGTCCGATTGGATAAAAGAATCTGATAAGATTACTTTAAAAAGTTAATCTAAACTTATTATGGTATTAATATCTAGGAATTAGAATATTCTCACGAAAAAAAAAAAATTATTTTTAATTTTGTGCGACAAAAATAATATCCTTTTTTTTTTATTACAGTGTGAGAAAATAAAAAAGAAATCCCTTTTTGACGGTGTGTGGGAAAAGAAACATTTTTAGAAAGATTGAAATATTTCAAATATTTCATAATTATGGCACGAGAACTTTATTTCCATAACAGAATAAGGGAAAAATCAATTTGCGGATATCACGGATATAAGCCACATAATAAACCCTTTTCTTTTGAAAAACAAGAAAAAAAACAAGAACCCCGAAATGAATAGTGACACAGAAATTCTACTAGTATTAATACATCAATTTTTTTACATATTGTTCTAAACTTTAAATATGTGTAAGAATTTTGACAACATCTCGGTCTAAATAAGAAACACAAAAAAAAGCCCCAATCCCCAAAATATTTTGTCCCCAAATGCATATAATGTGATCTCTGTTGTGATACCATTCCATTATTTTACAGTTTTCCCACGTCAATTAACTTGCTTGTTTGGGGTGTTCCGCTTTATACAATAAAGTACCGAATACTGAGTAATCCTATACAAATTTGGTTACCGTAATAAAGTTATTATTAATATAATTAATAATAAATATAAAATTTTTTCAGTTATATATAGGGATACTTTTCGCCCATTTCTCTCCTCCACTTCACTTCTTTTTCTTTCTTAAAAATAATTAAATAATAAGAAATAAATAAATAAATTATTCTTTAAAATACTCATATTTACAAATTTTGAACAAAAAAAAAAAATTTATTAATCAAACAACTTAATTTTTAAAAAAAAAAAAAAATGACTGGTGTAGTTTTACCCTTCACTCAACAACCTTTCAACTCACCACTTCCCGTTATTCAACCTTTAGTCAAAAAATCAAATGTGAAAAATGTTCCTTACGTTCCTCCTGAAATCATTCGTATCATTCTTGCTCTATTAAAAGATGATAAGAAAACTCTCACCGCTTGCGCTTTGGTTAATCATACCTTTAATCTTCACGTCACCCCCATCCTATATCATACCGTCTCCTTCTCATTCCCTTACACCTTCACTTTATTCGCGAAAGCTACCATCGGTGAATCTCAACGTTCCCGAATGATTCGTCATTTGGATCTTTCGGGTTTCTCCACCATTGGCCTACAAAAGAGCAACGCAACAATTCAGACCGTCGTTACCCCTGAAATTCTCATAAACATCCTACGATCTTGCACAATGTTGGAGGCTTTCTCCGTTTCGGAAACGTTGGAATCCGCCATCACCTTTGAGGTCTTGCAGGTTCTCGCCTTTGAATTAAAGACCATTCAAACTTTGGATTTTTGTGGTCTCTCGAGCAAACAATTCGGTTCGGCTCTCGCCTCTTTGGCGGAAGTTATGGGTCGTGTGAGATTGATTCAGTATTACGAAAATGATGATGAGGAACCGACCTATTCGTTTCAAAAGGCGAATAACGTGGCTTTATCACATCTCAAACGTCTTTCGCTTCATGAATGTCCTACCATCTCGGAATTTTCCACCATTCTCACCCTTCTCGCCCACGCTCCAAACCTCACTCACCTTGATTTGGGTGGTTGTTCTATTAGTGATATGACCCTTAACTTCCTTGCCACGGGGACCAACGCCTCACGAACTTTAACCCATCTGTTACTCGCCAGATGTAAAAACATTTCTTCCGAAGCTATCGCTACCTTGATAAGTCAATGTGGAAATTTAAAAGTTCTCAACCTTTATGGTGACAGGGATATCGCCACCGCTATTAGCGAATATGATCTTATTACCATTTTGAGTTCCCCATCCGCAAAACAATTTCAAACGTTGGACATTGGTTCATCTCACATCACCCCACGAGTTTTATATGCCATACAAGAAAATTGCACTTTTAATTTACAACATCTTGGTATCGCAAAAGCTCAGATCCCATCTACTTCTCATCTGAATCAATTTCTTAACGCGATGCCAAGCATTCAGTACATTGATCTTACCGCCGCAACGTGCTTGACTCCGATCAACATGAGTTGCCTTTTGAATAATTTACAAAAAGATCATTCCCTTCATACCGTCGAGATGAGCGAACCTTTACTCAAAAAACTTGGTGCCACCAAAGGATGGAAGATCAATGAAAACTTTAGTAGAAGGTGTTATTACACCAAATTATCATCTGGAGGAAGAAAGGTTCATCCAAGAAAGTTGGATGTGGCCGAATCCGGTTCGGACAGAATGAGCAAAATTTTCAAATATTATAGTTTTGACGTGTGAATAATAAATCATACAACTTTATTTTATAATGTAAAAAAAAAAAAAAAAGAAAAAAGAAAAAAGAAAAAAAAAAAAAAGATTCAAAGCGTCAACAAAATGAGGTATGAAGGCCGGTCGAACTGAGGAGGATCAAAAAAATAAGAAAATTTAAGGACGAGTGTTCCAGTTTTCCACCTTTTAAATGGTGATGTAACTGAGGTTAATGCAAGTCTTGGAGACGGCGCGAATCGTAATTTTATATTATTATTAATTTACATAATTCAAATCTTTAGAACTTTTAATTATTATAATCTCTTAATTTAGTATTTCATTGTAAAAAAAAAATCGGAACATGTATATATTTTTCCACAATTTAATAATTATCAATACTTTTCAAAAAAGTTAGTCTGAATTTTTTAGTTTCTTTCGCTTAATTTAAATATTGATGTAATATTTCAACATAATTTTTCGATCAATAAAAAAATAAAAGGTTTAAAACTAATTTAGGAATTCATTATTTTGGTGTGGCTAATTTTATTCCAAATGGCAAATGGACCCGTAATCTTACAGTTACATTTCGACTTTTCAAATGATAACAAAGACCAAGTGAATTCATGATGTTTCTATCAAATAATTCCAGTAAATCACCGAGATAAATTGTTTGATAACGTCTTGTAGATGTCGTACGTTTAAAAATTTGACCAATTATCAGTATTGATTGGCTCAAAAAAAAATTTTTTTGAAATTTCAGGGAAAACATCACTAACCAATACTGGGAACTGAGCCAGAGTTTTTTTGTAATTTGATCGACAATCGGGTCACAAGAAATCAGGTCATTTAAGGTCATTTGAAATTCATGACGCAATAACACTAAAAACGAACCCCTTTAAAAAGACTCTAGCTCTCCTCTCCCCCTTTCAGATCCAGAAATTCAAATTGCTTTAATAAAATGACTCTTAATACACCATTATCATCAACGAGAGATCGATTACCTCTAAAATCTCACCGTAGAACTAGCATAGCTGCGGTTCCGCAGGCAGTTTATCTCGGTTTAGAATTAGATTACAAATTCTGTAATGGTGAAAGGGCCAATTATGCTATTTGTACTCATGATGGCAATTACGCTATTGACTATGAATTCTCGTCAGTTGATGTATCCGATCACTTTGATCCCGATAAACCCATGGATCGTAAACGCGTCGCGAAAGTTATTCAAATAATCCTTGATAATATCACATTATATGCCACTTCGCAAAATTATAAAATACAAGCAATTGGACTTGGCGCTCATTTAGAGAATGGCGAGGATTTTCGTAAACTTTTATTTTCCTCTCCTAGCCTGGCTTCTCGTATTTGGTTAGAGTTCGATGCTTTGCCATTTATCATTAAAACAAAGGGTAAAACTGTCGATGAACGTGCTAGTTCTGCCGTTAGAAAGGCAGTAGTCTGGTAACTTTTTTCTTGATATAATTTACTACTAATTAATTGAATTATCGTGAATCATATTAATCCTCATTTTATTTTACAGGTTGAGTCCACAAGCTCCTGGATCGATTCCAAGGATATCTGTTGGATTCAGACATGAAGTTGAAGTTGATCTAAACGGAATGATTAAATTGGTGGATTTGGTGCATTACGAAAAAACCGTACACCCGGCAACCTGGAAAGTACTCCTAAGTATCGCTGAAGAAATTAAAGGAAGGAAAATAAAGGCATCATTCTTCAATGCAACGCCTCAAGGTGGTGGAGGTAATTGGCAAATCCCGATCCTTTTCCTCTGGTGATTACACTTTTTTTAATGATCGCAAAGATAAATTGAAATCTTTTTGATCGTTACAGTTGCTCTTATGCGTCACGCGCTTATCCGTCTATGTAACCTTTTGGGCCTCGATATTCATTGGTTTGTCACTAAGCCGAAACCTGACATTTTTGATATAACAAAAAGAAAGTTCCATAATGTATTACAGGTAAGTCAACCTTCTAGTGATGGTTTAATGGGAACTGTCAATGAAATTCACTGAAATGATAATCTTTGATTAGGGTGTTGCAGCTCCAGACGTTCGTCTAACTGAACAAGACAAACAAATGTTCATTTCCTGGTCGAATGATAATGCCGAGCGTTTCTGGGATGATGACGAAGGCCCAATTAAAACCAGTGATGTGATAATCATTGATGATCCACAAGGTAACGAGTTATCAAGAAATGCGGCACATCATCTCGTTATGATATTAACTTTTACTTTTCATTCTTAATTCAAAAAGTTTGTGGTATCATTCCATATATCAAGAAACTCAATCCGACCTGCAAGATCATTTATAGAAGTCATATCGAAAGTAAGCTTTATTATTATGCGGCCAATTTAATTAAGACAACACACACACTCACACACACTCTCTCTAGTTTGTGCTGATTTAATCCGGCAGGATCCAACGGGACCACAAGCTGACACGTGGAATTTTCTTTGGGAATTTATTTCTCACGCTGATCTGTTTGTTTCTCACCCTATGCCCAATTTTGTTCCGGACAATGTCCCTAATGAAAAGGTGGTTCTTCTTCCTGCTTGTACAGATCCATTAGATGGTTTAAACAAAGATCTAAGACATGTTGATTTATCTTATTACAAATTGGTTTACAATCGATTGTCATTAGATCAATGTGGTGTTAAAATTGATTTTCAACGACCTTACATTGTTCAAGTAGCTAGGTTCGATCCAAGTAAAGGTAAGCGATTTCCTATTCCTGGTATTATATCAAAGGACAAAGTGTTTATTTTATCTTATTATGTAGGTATCCCTCTGTTGATTCATTCCTTTAAGCTCTTCCGTGATAAGCTTAAAGAAGCCGGTTGGACTCCAGAAAGGATGCCTTCTCTCGTAATTTGTGGCGCTGGCAGTATTGACGACCCGGATGGCACTCCAATTTACGAACAAACTCATACATTATTGTTGCAACCTGAATACGAAGATATCGAAAGCGACGTTTCAGTAGTGCGTCTCCCCCCATGTGATCAGATCTTCAATGCTATCCTGAGGTGTGCTCATGTAGCATTACAATTAAGTACAAGGGAAGGATTCGAGGTTAAGGTTACAGAGGCTTTAGCGAAAGGAGTTCCCGTCGTAGCATTCAAAGCGGGTATGATCAATTTTTATAGCACTACTTTTTTTGTTTGAATTTTCATCTTAATTCATACGCAAGTATCATTAGGAGGGATACCGCTTCAGATTAGACATGGGGAGACGGGGTTCTTGGCAGATATTGGTAATACCGAGCAAGTTGCGGATTATTTGTTTACCTTGTTTGATGATCAAGAACTATATCAAAGGATGTCACGGAGAGCAAAGGAGACTTTAAACGAACAATACTTCACAGTCTTTCAGACTCTTAATTGGTTATATTTGATTAACCGATTTGCTAAAGAAAGACGTAGAGAGAGGGGTGAGGACGTTGAAATCGATGAAAGTGTCCCTTGCGGTGGCTCAAAATGGGTCAAAGACATTTGGGCAGAAGAATATAATTATAAAGAAACAATGAGACAACTTGGGGCTTCGGAGATTGATGGAATGGTAATTATTCAAATTTATTTATTTTTTTTTTTTTTTTAAAAAAAAAAAAAAATAATACATTTTACTAAAAAAAAAAAATTTTTTTTTTCCTTCCTAGAGTCTTGATGAGATGGTTTCTCACCCTATAGATAGTACCAGTAACAGAGCATAGAAAATTTAGAAATTTTTTTATTTTGTGTAATATTTATTATGTATTATTATCGTTTTTGCATATCTAATTTATTTTTTTTTTATTTATTAATCCCTTCTCTTTAATGATTTCAATTTCTTTTTAATGTCATTTAATTGTCATCTGAATAAATAAATATATATATATATATAACAGTCATTTTTTTGATATGTCGTAATATAAATAAATCAAAACAATCATACAAATCATACAAACATGCAAACTGTTACAAAATGTTTAAAAATTAAAACGAGTTTTTCACTTGACAAAATTCTTATCACGTGGTTTTAATTTGTGGTTTTTTATTTTATTTTCAAAGATCTTTCAAAATCTCATGTCCCTACTTTCAATTTATAAATTCTACAAACGTCTGGTTTTCAATTGTGAAAACGGAGCAAAAAAAAAAATCATGTCAGTAAATAACCTCAACACCGTTCATGAACAAGTCGACATTGACGTTGACATTGATGATTCCGCTCCTCACGAACATGCTACACCGGATTCAATGGTCACCACCTCAAGTTACGGAGGTATTGATGAGCACATTACACAAGAAACCGAGGTTTCCTTCAGAACGTCCAAGCGTGCAACCGGAAAGAAACGTCGCAGGTCTCCGGATTTGGAACTTTTGGAAGAAAATTTGGCGCAAGGTATCACCACTTCAGAGACCTCGGAGCCTAACCCGAAAAAGAGGGTGCTGCCACCTCGTAAGGTTGGAACACTCGCAAGTGTACTCGCGGACGAAGTTGCAGCGGATCAAGGTACGTTTTAATATTTAAAAAGAACCATTTTCATTCATGATATTCATTTCATTTTGTTTTTTTTAGCTGCGATGTTGGCGCCTGCTATTTCAGGCGAAACCACGATTTTGTTAACATCCGATGAAAGTCTCCTAGAGACTTGTGATTTCGTTGAGGATGATGAGGTTGGTACAGACGAAGATCTAATTAAGGCTAGCAATGATGATAAGGAAATTCCTGTACCATCATTTAGGGTTGTTAATGAGGATATTGGAAGTGGGTTACGGAGTAAAGCCCAAGAGGTTTATAAAGAAATTTTTAATGTATCTTTGATCTCATGACTTTCATACGTAAAGCAAACGATTTAAAATTTCTCTGGTTTTTTTTTTTTTTTTTTTTTCTTTTTTTCCTTTTTTTTTTTAAAAAAAAAAAATATACATATACATATATGTATATATAAATATAAAAAAAAAAACGATAAAATATAGGAAGATATATCCGATGTGTCATATGAAAAGCGCCATCGCAAGCATGAGCTTGCCGAAAAGAAGCTAAGGAATCGCGAACGGGAGAAGTTGGCATACGAAAGGTACCAACAGCAATTGGCCGTCGAGAAATTACGCAACACCGATTCAAAAAGTCTAATATCAATCGCTGCTCTGCGAAATAAAGATGCAACGAATGATGCGAGCAAGTTACAGATAGCGCATCAAAAGTTGTTAAAAGAAGCCGAGGACACATTGGCCATATATGATTCATTCGGATTAGGTGGTAAAAAACGAAAGATAGATGCAATAGTCAATGAAGGAGAGGTCAAGGTGTCCGAGGAACCGGATGCGAAAAAGACGCGACTTCGAGGTTCGAAAAGTACCGCCAGTTCAAATTTGGATGATGTCGCATCCAAACCTAAGGAAGAGACAACGCGAATCACCCGAAGTCGAAAGAAGAATGATGAGCTTGCTTCATCTGCGGTCACAAAAAAACTTGCCAAAGCGCCATTGAAAGGAAAGAAGGGTCAAAACATCGCGCCTTCTTCAACTACAACGGCGTTAACGGTGATCCAACCGCCCCCAACGGGCGAGCGTGTAACAAGTTTCGTCAGGCCATATACGGGTATGGCATCAGGTTCACGCAAGAGTTCACGATCTGCTTTTGCATTTGGTGAACGAGTTCCCAGCAGACATATGACCAAAAAAGATTTCATTTTGCCGGTTACAATGTTTGGGGAAATAATGAATCAACGCGAACAATTAAGAACGCTGGAGGAACAAGAACAACTTCGCCAATCAGAAGAATATAAAATGCCTTCTGAAGGTAGTGGTGCCTAATAGACATCACAAAGGCTCAATGACTGAATAAGTTGGACAGTTGTAAATTGCTTTGAAAAAAAAAAAGCAAAAAAAAAAAAGACTATTTTCACCCTTCCCTTTTTTCCCCTTTTTCTCAAAAGGAATTTTTTTGTAATACATTTATTTGTAATAAGTTAAGTTTTAGTAATTTCTAATAAAAATACGCTCTGCAAAGACGTAGCATAAGCCACATCATTGTCCGTCGATTCCATATCATCTTCATCGTCATCATCATTCAAATTGATATATTTATCATAATTAAAATTGAACAAAGCAAGTGGAATTTGATTACACTTAAGTTTCCATTTATCCAAGAGATATTGAATGGATCTTTTAGAGCTGTTTGAAGGAGAAAACATCATAAGAAGGTATATGTATCATAGATAAGATAATTAATAAGTTACGTTACCTTCTTTCTTGATACGATGTAATGAACTTTGCATTTGGAGAATGATACGTTAATATGTAAGCGACGGTTACGAGGAGATCTTCAAAATCTAAATAATCATTGGTCAAGTTAGTTGATTTTAAGTGAGCGAGAACCCGGAATTGAATTTATCAAGTACCTTTTGGATCGTAAAAAGTATCACTACCCAAAATCCAATCAACCTTTCGGTTAGATTGATCGACATCGGTTAACAATTGAAATAACCCATCACCAAAATCGCCCCACATCAACCCCCTTATCCAAATATTATTCCTAGTTTTTAAGTTATTTAACCTTACAGTGTCTCGCATATTTTCAAGTACTTGAGGGGCATCTGGTCTATCTGTTAAGATTACGTGAGTGTCATTGGAAATTAATGCGCACAAAAATCCCGGCAATGAAGTTCCTGATCCTAACTATGATAATAAACCGTTCCTTATAAATAAAAGAGGAATTTTCGTATGCGTATGACCTTAACGAGGATATCCTTACTTCCAAGATCGTTTTATCTTTAAATAAGTCCCTCTTGTACCAAATATATTCGGCTAATACAAATGCTGATGGCCATATGTAACATCCATATGATGGTTCAAGTAATTCTTTTATTATTACGGATTGTTCTTCCCTTGACCTTTCATTTGAATTCTCTTCATCACAAAAATGAAATATTTTGGTAGGATTCATTTCTTTTGCTACGCCGCCACATCGGTCGTCGATCATTTTTTTGTCAATCATTTTAATGTCATCCTATTTGTCGATGTCATTTATGTCGTCTGATACATCTTTCAAAGGCAATTAACTAAATAAGGTAATGAAACAAATTGTCATAAAGAATTTATGTTACAATTTTTAACTCACATTGTATTCTAAATATACTAAATCCAATGAAATGACCTTATTAATTTAAATTACTATTGTAAGTCAATAATTAACAGTTAATGAGCTCGAGCAGAAACTCGAACCATACATACAGTAGTTGATGCAGAAAGTCAACTTGGTGAATTACTCTAATGATGTTTTAGACATGAAAAATCTTGATGATCTTATTAAATTCTCAAATGTTATACATAGACAAAGAATGTAGGAAGGGAAAACTACATTTGCAAGATGAATTTCAAATGATTTCTCAGATGCTGGTCGATCTTTTCGGATTTCATGTGATTTTATGAGTTTAAAATAGTTCAGACATTATTTGGAAGAAGATTTGCTTTAAAATATCATCTGAAAGGGCTTTAAAATATTATTTGAAAGGGTAAGTCTTTTATAATCTTTTTGCAATATTGACAATACATTTATACTTATTTGATTATTTCTAGAATTATGAACTTTTGTAAAGTTATAGGAAATGATTTGATCTCTCTTTATGAATTTTAAAAACAATCTTAAATTAACAAACAAAGTAAAAGAAAATTGTATTATGTTCTTCTTCATTATTAATATAGATAATATAAATGTATTTGACAAATCAGATAAGCTAAAATTTTAAAAAAGTTTTTTACAGATTTTAGTTTTAATTCAAATCATTATTATTTCTTTTAGAATAAGATTATTAATTATATATTTTATGAGACTTAAAAACTATTAGTATTTGATTTATTTTATTAAAATCAGAAAATTTTTCATCAAATTTAAAACATATATAGTAATCAACCTTTTTGATGTTGATTATTATTTAGAAATTCTAAAGAAAATAAAAATATATTAGAAACAAAGTTTTATCATTAAAATACTATTATTTTATTTAAAAAAATTGTCAAGATGATAATCTTTCTTAAAAAAGTGAAAAATAAATTAAGTAGAATTTATTTATACTATTAAAATATATACACTTTATATAATAATATTAAAATCATTCTTAGTTAGTTATATATATATTATTTGAGTCAAAATTAGTTATAGAAACTATTTTTTTTAATTTTTACATAAATATTTCTTTACTTTTGATTAAAGGATTTTAAATAAAAACTTTTTCAGATAAACATGAGTTTTAAGCTAAACTTAACTATTGTTTAATGATTAAGTATTAAAATCTATTTAATTAATAATTAAATAACAGTGTATTTTAAAGATCTTAAAATAGTTAGTTTAGGGTAAAGGAAGGTTTACTTTTTTTTTAACTTGTACATATTTTCATACTTTGTCAAATAAATACTATTATCAGGTTACATACCAAGAAATAGAATAGTTGCTAGACTTAGTTTTATACTTTTTTTTGGATTTTTTTTCAAATTTTAATTAAACTTTTTTTTTTATTAATAGAACTACTTATAGTAGATGTAAAGTAGGCTTTTTGGCACAAAAGTCCAAATGCGTCCAAAAGGTTTTCCTGGGTATCAAAAAATTATACTCATAGCGTAATCCCTTTGTTTTCATACTTGTATCCTTAAGGAAATCAATTTGCTTTCTTGTTTGGTATTCGCTTTGTAAACGTTTGCTTCCTATATGTAAAAATAAATTTCCACTTTG